TAACACATATGACACATAATATGTTATAAATATTGTATTTTTTAATATCAGCGTGTTATCACTAGATATTATAAATATTGTAGCTATTTTAATAACTGTTTTAACACTGTGTGTTAATACTAGATATTATAAATATGGAGATTTCATTAATATCACACTGGTTAACACTGTGTGTTAACACTAGATATTATAATTATCACGAATATTTTCTTAATATAGTGTGTTAACACTAGATATTGTAAATATCATATTTTATTAATATCTTAGGTATAAATATTAGGTATAAATTAACATTACGTATAAATATTTTACTAATATCATAGTGTGTTAACACTAGATACTATAAATATCACTGATGTTTGATTAATATCATAGTGTGTTAACACTAGATATTATAGATATTTTATTAATAGTGTGTTAACAGTGTGTTAACACTAGATATAAATATCATAGATATTTTTTTAATATATAGTGTATTAATACTAGACATTATACATATCAGATATTTTATTAATATCATAGTGGGTTAACATCAGATATTTTAAATATCATGGATATTGTATTCATATCATAGTGTGTTAACACTATATTTAAATATCATGGATATTTTATTAGTTTTTTATTAATATTTTATTAACACAGAGTGTTAATACACTAGATATTATGCATATCATGTATATTTTCTGAATATCATAGCATGTTATCACTAGCTATTATAAATATATATTTTATTAATATCTTAATGTGTTAATACTAGATATTTTAAATATTATGGATATTTCATTAATATCTTAGTGTGTTAACACTAGATATTATAAACATGAATGCTTTCTTAATGTCATAGTGTGTTAACACTGATAATATTACATATGAATATCATGGATATATTAATAGCACGTGTATTAACACTAGATATAAATATCAAGAATATCTTATTAATATTATAGTGTGTTAATACTGGATATTTTATTAGTATCATAGTGTGTTAACACTGGATATTACAAATATGGAAATTTTATTATCATAGTGTGTTAATACTGTGTGTAAAAACCAGATATTGAAATATAGATATTTTATTAATACAGTGTGTTAACACTAGATATTATAAATATCATAAATATTTTATTAATATTATAATGTGTTAACACTATTACCACTATTAAAAATATCATAGGTATTTTATTAATATCATTGTGTGTTAACACTAAATATTGTAGGTATCTTGGATAGTTTATTAATTTCACAGTGTGTTACCTCTAGATATTATAAACATCATGGATATCTTAATGTCCATAATATGAATTCCTGGATAATTCTTGAATATCATATTATGGATATTTTATTAATATTTTGTGTTTTAACAGTAGATATTATAAATATGGATATTTTCTTAATTTCGTAGTGTGTTAACACTTACTATAAATACCATGTATATTTTATTAATATCATAGTGTGTTAACAGTGTATATTAACACTAGCTACTATAAATATCATAGATATTTTATTAGCATCTTAGTGTTTTAAAACTATTTTCAATATCACAGATATTTTTAAATATCAGTGTGGTAATACTGTGTTGTCATACTAGATATTATAAATATATTCTATTAATATCATTGTTTACATTAGTTATGAATATAGCTATTTTATGAATAGCATAGTGTGTTAACACTGTGTGTTAAATTTGGATATTATAAATATCATAGATATTTTATTAGTATCATAATGTGTTAACCCTATGTGTTAACACTGGATATTATAAATATAGGTTTTTTAATATCATAGTGTGTTTACATTGTATGTTAACACATGTCGTGTAAATGTCACACATATTTTCTTAATATCATAGTGTGTTATCACTAGATATGATAAATATAAAGATATTTTCTTAATATAGTGTGTTAAAACTGTAAACACTAGATATTATAAATATCATAGATATTTTGTTAATATCATTGTGTTAACACTAGATATAAATATATTTTACTAACATGGTGTACTAACACTATGTGTTAACAGTAGATATTATAAATATAGATATTTTGTTGATATCAGTGTGTGTTAACACTAGATATTATAAATATAGACATTTTATTAATAGTATTGTGTGTTAAAACTGTGTGTTAACACTAGATATTATAAATATAGATATTTTATTAATCACAGTGTGTTAACACTAGATATTATAAATACCTTAGATAATTAATATCACAGTATATTAATACTAGTTATAAATATACATATTTTATTAACATCATAAAATGTTAACACTTGATATTATTATAAATATTTTAGATATTTAATATCATAGTGTGTTATATATTATATTATATATTTATATGCTATATATGTATGAGTTATCTCTGGAAAAATCTGATGATATTAATTATATCCAGGGAGGCTACAAGAAGCCAAGGATGATGAGAAACCCTCAATTTTACTTTTTACTTGTTGATGTTACACAATAAAAACTTTTTCCCTCGCCTCCCCCAACACTTCCCTCCAAAAAATGCTTTACCATAACCATTTAGTGCTCAAATCTTCTTGGTCCATTTCTTGGCTGCCTTCTGTGTGCAGGCCCGCGAGGTCTCATCTTAGAAGATCCTGAGAGGCAAGTGTTGTGGACATTGAGAGGACCAGAGCCCACTTGCTTTTCTGATCCCACCCTAGAAGATGTCGATGCCAAGCTGTGGAAATGAAATAAATTAGTAAAGCACATGAACATGGAAGGTGCTTACTAAATGTTGTTTATCTTCAGTTTCTCTGCCTTGGCCCTCTCATACCCACTCCTGATCTTAGTTGATTGGGAGAAAATTGCCATTGAACATCATAGTCTACCAGCAAAGACCATTTGAGAGAGTCATCTCTTTTCCATTTCAACAGCAGGAAGAAGCCCCACAAATCAAGCACTCTTGCTCTATACCTTGTCATTTTGTTGCTACTCCCACCAGCCAAAGAGGGGGAAACATTTCTTGGTGGAATTAAAATACTGTTATAGGCTGGGTTGCAGGTGGCTCATGCCTATAATCTCAGTACTTTGGGAGGCCAGGACTGGAGGATCACTTGAAGCCAGGAGTTCAAGACCAGGCTGGGCAACATAGTGAGACCTCCATCTCTACAAAAATATTTAAAAAATATAATTAGCCAGGCATGATGACATGCATCTGTAGTCCCAGCTACCTGGGAGGCTGAGGCAGGAGGATCACTTGAGCCCAAGGGTTTCAGGCTGCAGTAATCTATGCTCATGCCACTGCATTCCAGCCTGGGCAACAGAGCAAGATTGTCTCTCTGAAGACCAAACTTGTTATAGAATATAGCGTTGAGTAATTTTTCTGGAATGAGAAAGCTCTCATTTTAGATACCCATTCATTCACTCATTCAATAGTGTGCTAGATGCCAGTAATTTAATGGTGAGCGAAATAGACATGGTCTCTGCCTTCTGAGGCTCAAGATCCCTCTCTCTATTTCTAAAAACCAGGTTTATTGAAGTATAATTGATGTACAGTAAAATTTACTGGTTTTAGTGGAAATGTCTATGGGTTTTGGCAAATGTGTAACCAACACAATGAAGACCTAGAGCATACCGTCTCGCCCCTTGCAATTTTCTTGTGCTCCTTTGGAGTCAACAACTCTCCCCCAACCTCTGGCCGCTGGCAACCACTGATCTGTCCTCTGTCCATATGGATTTGTCTTTTCAGAATGTCATATAAATGGATTAATATACAATATTGTCCTTTGAGCCTAGCTGCTTCCACGTTCCTGAATTAACATTTGAGATTCATTTGTGCTGTTTTGAGTAGAATTGCTGAGTGGCATTCCATGGTGCCAGTGGACCTTCTTTTTTCCTGGAGAAAGAGTCTTGCTCTGTCACCCAGGTTGGGGTGCAGTGGTGCAATCACAGCTCACTGCAGCCTCTACCTCCTGGACTCAAGTGATCCTCCTGCCTCAGCCTCTTAAGCAGCTGGGACCACAGGTGTGAGCCAGTGAGCCCAGCTCATTTAAAAAATTTTTAGGGATGGAGGCTCTCAATATGTTGCCCAGGCTAGTCTCAAACTCCTGACTCAAGCCATCCTCCAGCCACAGCCTCCCAAAGTGCTGAGAGTACAGACATGAGCCACCATGCTTTGCCGCAGATGGACCATTTTGATGCCTTCTTGGCCCTGAGTGGATTGAATTCACTGGCTGAACTACATTAATTTTCCTCCCACGGGGCCCAGTTAGGTCTGGGAACACAATTCAGCTGTAATAGGAAGACAAAATGTCACTTCTTGCAACCAAATGTGTGGACTGTGAAACTCACATTCACTTTGCCAATTATTGTTTTTGTCTTTTTGTTTTGGACAATAAGCCCCAGCTGGCCTGTAAGTCAGCAAAGGACCCACTAAAAGTTCCTCTCCTCAGCCTTTATGACACCAGTGCCAGTCCCCAAGAGAGGCACTTTCCCCAGCCCTTTGAGCAGAGTTTTGCCCGAGTTGGACTCATGAGGGAGGATGGAGTTTCTTGGAACCAATCAGACCACCAGTTACTGTGGCCCCAACAAATGCTGTGGCTTGACCTTGCTGCCAGCTGTACAGCCTCCAGTGATCCAAGAGTGCTGTCAGCCCTACTAACTGCCCGGGTGCCGCTACCTCAATTCATGGAGGCCTAGCCACTTCTACAAGATCTCCAATGTCCAGACCTGCCCGGACGAGAGCCCCAGCACCCTGTGGCTACCCACCATCCTGCCCACGCTCTGCTCTGCACTATTCTCTCGCTATAGCCCCCACGACTGGGACCAGTCCAACCCGCTACAGGTGCATAGGGCCGAGGCCTCCCGGCTGTGGGCCAGCCAGCTGACAGACAATTCCATGAGGCTCTTGCAGGACAAGGACTAGCTGATGGACCAGATGCAGGAGGGCACATTTGGGAACCTGGGCCAGAGGCTTTTGGACATTGGCTTCTGGAAGTGAGAGCTGAGCAACAAGCTGGACAGTCTTCTGACTGAGAACCAGAACTTGGAGATGGTCAAGAGGCAGCTGGAGTGCAAAGCCAATGAGGTGAACTGCACGTTGCAGGCAAGTACAGGGGTCGGGACAGGGCTGTGGCCATGTGATGGAGATACTACATGCTCATTCTGCTTGCCTTGACTGAAAATCAAGGTGGCAGGCACCTTGCAGGTTCATTTGAGCTGCATCATCCTATATGATCAGTAATACAGTCTTAATTCAGGATAATCTCAGTCAATTCAGCGTTTCTTGGACTGAATAGAATTTCCTTTTCTCCTTGAGGCTACATCAAAGTTGTAGGTGGTTCATGAAGATATTGTGTGCATACTTAATGCATGCCTGAGCATGTGTGTACGTGTGTGCATGCATGAGCATATGTGCGTTGTAGTCCTTACAGCACATACTTAAAATAACTGCTTTATTTATTTATTTATACAGAGTCTCGTTCTGTCACCCAGCCTGGAGTGCAGTGGCACGATCTTGGCTCACTGTGACCTCAGCCTCCTGGGTTCAAGCAACTCCCCTGCCTCAGTCTCCTGAAGAGCTGGGATTACAGGCACCTGCTACCACACTGGGCTCATTTTTGTATTTTTAGTAAAGACAAGGTTTCTCTATGTTGGCGAGGCTGGTCGGAACTCCTGGCCTCAAGTGATCTACCTGCCTTGGCCTCCCGAAGTGCTGGGATTACAGGCATGAGCCACCAAGCCTGGCCCATAGCTGCCCTATTTTTCCCCATAATACTTAACATCCTCTAACATGCTCTATACTTGATTGAATACTAGAATATAGGATAGTATCCATCAAGGCAGAGAGTTTTGCCTGCTTTGTCACTATGTATTCAAGACTGCTATTCAGTGCAGGGCATTTATATGTCTGTGTGGACCCATAGCAACCATGTCGGTGCTGACTGATGTTGTTTACACTAATGTTTTGAATGTATTCCCAGCCTAGGACAGGGCAAAGCACAGAGTAAGCATTCAGTAAATACCTGTTGAATAAATAAGTAAATATCGAAGTGTGGACTGGGCACGGTGGCTTATGCCTGTAATCCCAGCACTTTGGGAGGCCAAGGCAGGTGGATCATCTGAGGTCAGGAGTTCAAGACCATCCTGGCCAACATGGTGAAACCCTGTTTCTACTAAAAATACAAAAATTAGTTGGATGTGGTGGCGCATGCCTGTAATCCAAGCTACTAGGGAGGCTGAAGCAGGAGAATCGCTTGAACCCAGGAGGCAGAGGTTGCAGTGAACTCAGATCATGCTACTGCACTCCAGCCTGTGCCACAAAGCTAGAGTCCATCTCAAAAAACAAAACAAAACAAAACAAATCAAAAAACAAAAAACTAAACTAAATGTGGACATTCCTGACACTTCCTTGGTCTCCTAGCCTCCAGTCATCTCCCCGCCCGTTAGGACTGGCTTTTGGCTGCATGTAACAGATCCTCCACAACGGTGGCTTAGCCACACAGGAATTTATTTTTCTGTCATAAGGAAAATTCCAGAGGGAGACAGATCAGGCGGCTGCAGCCTCAACTTGGTGCCAGAAGGGACCCAGGCTCCTCTCTTTCTGCTCTGCCACTCACAGCATGTGTTTTTGTCCTACTGTTCCCAAGGAAGTTTCATATTTTATATTGCAAGCACCTGCGTGCCAGGGGCCTCTTGATATTCTCATTCGAGGCAGGAAGTCAAGGGTAGAGCAATGAGCAGATGCATCGATGGGCGTCCATCACTTTTTATCGCGCAACATCTTTTCCAGAAGGCCTGTTGTGTGTTTCCATTTTTAGCCCATTTCCCAGCAGTCGCATGGGCTTTCTGGCTGCAGGGGGGTCTGGATAAGTGAGTGTTTCTCACTGCAACCAGGAGAAAAGCATGGGAGTGGTTAAGTGGACTCTGAGTAAGGAGCCAGCAGCACCTACGGAAACTAACCTTGGGCACACAGGACAATGATTGGCTGCTCACTGAAGTGTGTGGGGAACTCAGGACCTCCTGCCTAGATGCCTCCTGCAGCTGCAGGGGCTTCTGTAGGAGCAATCCTGCCTCAGGACCCCCCGGGAGACACGGGATAGGGATAGGTTTCCACTACTCTGGGATTTCCAAGCCCATGGAATGCAAGGAACAAGAGGAGCAGTCCTCTGTGTCCCTGTCCGCGCCCCCAGATTCTCCCTGTGAAGAAGGATGGCCAGGGCTGCTTCTCAGAGCAGGAAATCTGTCATTTGTGACATGGATGAGCCTACAGGCCATTACGTAAAGTGAAGTAAGTCAGGCACAGGAAGACAAATATCTCACGATCTCACATACATGTGGCATCTAAAACAATCAAATTCATAAAAGCAGAGTAGAGTGGTGGTTACCAGAGACTGGGGGTGGGGGACTGGGGAGATGTTGGTCAAAGGGCACAAAATTTCAGTTCATCAGGAAGAATAAGTTCCAGAGATCTGTTGTACAACATGGTGACCATAGTTAATAACAATATATTGTGTTCTTGAAAATCTGAGATTTTACGTGTTCTCACCACAAAAATAAGTATGTGAGGTAACTCACATGTTAATTAGTTCAAATTAGTTCAGTGCTTTAAAATATCTATGTAATTTTAAAACATGTTTTACATGATACAGCATATACCATTTTTGTCCATTAAAAATGAGTTAGTACTTTTTTAAAAAAATGCAATAAAACAAAGACACTGGCCTGTCCTAATTCTTCCTTTGTTAAAATTTGCCTGTTTAAATACTAATATTTAGGCCAGGCACAGTGGCTCACACCTATAATCTCAGCACTTTGGGAGGCCAAGCTGGGCAGATCACCTGAGGTCAGAAGTCTGAGACTAGCCTGGTCAACATGGTGAAACTCCATCTCTACTAAAAATATAAAACCTAGCTGGGTGTGGTGGCATGGGCCTGTAATCACAGCTACTTGGGAGGCTGAGGCAGGAAAATGGCATAAATCTGGGAGGTGGAGGTTGCAGTGAGGTGAGACTACACCACCGCACTCCTGCCTGGGTGGCAGAGTGACACTCCCTCTCAAAAAACTAAACAAATAAATATGAATATTTAAGGAATTTTACTTACCAAATTGATTATTTATTTTATTTGTTAAGCATTTATGAGTACACAGTAGATGTATGTATTTACGGGGTACAGGAGTTTACAGGTACATAGTAGGTATATATATTTATGGGGTACATGAGATATTTTGATACAGACATGCCATCTGTAACAATCACATCAGGGTAACTGGGATATCCAACCCCTCAAGCATTTATCATTTCTTTGTGTTACAAACATTCCCATTTATACTTCTTAATTTATTTAGAGATGAAATCTCATGCCCGGGCTGGAGTATAATGGCTCGATCTTGGCTCATTGCAACCTCTTCCTCCCAGGTTCACACAATTCTCGTGCCTCAGTTTCCTGAGTAGCTGGGATTGCAGGCACACACCACCACATCCACCTAAGTTTTTGTATTTTTAGTTGAGACGGGGTTTCACTATGTTGGCCAGACTGGTCTTGAGCTCCTGACCTCGTGATCTGCCTGCCTCGGCTTCCCAAAGTGCCGGGATTACGGGCATGAGCCACTGCGCCCAGCCCCTCTTTCAGTTATTTTTAAATGTGCAATAAGTTATTGTTGACTGTAGTCACCCTGCTGAGCTTAAGGTTTTTTTACACGAATTAATTTATAGACAAACTGTAGGTAACAGTAGTCCCAGTGATAGGTGGAATTGTGGGAAATTAGGACAGGAGCACACAAATTATTGAACTTCAACTCTGTTTTTGTCCTTTCAGCCCTTATCCCTCCTGTTACATTTGCATCGTCTCTGCACACCTCCACCCCTGATGTCTTCCTAGGCTCTCCAATGTGTCTGGCCCTGACCAAGCCCTTTGCTCTAAGGGTGGCTTGTCTACAATGTCTTTCTCCCTAACATCCAGTTCTAAACCCTTCGGGGGATCGAAGGGCTTCTGGAGGAGGAGGTGACTTTTGGGGCACAACAAACCAAGACGTGTGCTCCCAGAGCTGACTCAGAAGCAGCGCAGCCCCTCTGCATCCACCCCAGCTGCCCATGTGTACCAGGCAGTGGGAGGGACAGCCACTGCCAGATTGCCAGCCTGTCCTCTGCTGTGTCTGTGTCAAGAGTGAATGAAGTGGGAAAACCAGCAAAGCAGTGTACCCTGAAAGAGTTAAAGGTGAATACCAGCTGCAGGTGGAGGCGAGGCGGCTGTTTCCAAGGGTAGCTGGTGCCAAGGGCTTAGCTACTGGCCCCAAGCCCCGTAAAACTCAAGCCTCCCTTTAATTATGAGAGGGGACCCTGGGCTTGTTGGGATACCAGTTACATAATCTTGTAAGAACATAAAGCTGATTTCTTTTGAAGACTCCTGGCTCAGTGTGTCCACCAGCTCACTTGTGGAGGTGCCCAGCTCCTGGCCTTGCTACCTAATGCCACCCACCCTTTGCCATCTCTCAAGGCTCAGAACTCAAATGGGGAAGCCACAGGCTAAGAGGGGCCTCAGAAGTGATGGGATGAAGTCAGAATTTTAGAGAAAGAAGAATGGCAGCAGCTTGGGTTGGGGGAGTGTTGAAAGTTGGGACCAGCTGAGAGAGGCTGTAGTTGTCCACAGTCAGAGTGAGAGTGGGAATGAGAGTGGTTGAAGACAGGGCCAGAAGTGGACCCCAGAGAAGGAACAGCACACAGTGACACAGAGACTGTGGGTGGGGATCCAGGTGACACTGTCTAATAGGTGAGAGATGTCAGGGCCACAGCTGGGACAGGGGTAAGAAGAGCTGTAAGACCCTTGAGTGGCATTAGTGTGGTTACTGTGACCAGTAACTATTAGATACAGCCATGGCTGTGATTTGCCAGTGTTGAAAAGTAGACATTATTCTGAAAGTTTGTCCTTCTGACATGACAAACTTCTTATCTGAATTGGAGAAGAGAGTTGGTACAAGCTCATCTGGTAGTGAGGCAGAGAGGGAAAATTAAACACAATATCAGTTCTTTCAGGAAGAAATCCTGGGAGGGAAGAAGAGCAATGTTGGGAACAAGGAGAGAGAGAGCTTTCCCAGAGGGTGAGAGGAGGGTGCTGTGCTGAGTGCAGCACCCAGGAACAAAGGCACCCAATGTGCCCCACAGAGCATCTGCACCAACCCCCCAGCCACTTGTGGGTGATGAGTGGTGGGAGACAGGGTCAGAAGTGGATCCCTGAGAAGGAACAGCACACAGGTGATGCAGACTGTGCTATTCCTATCACTCCAAAAAGAAGGAAAACATGAAGGCCCACTTTGACCAGAGGTACCCATGTGGTGGGTTTGGGGATTTTTTTCCCCTGACATGGAAAACCAAGTTGCAGGTAAGATGGAATCTACACTGCAGCTGAGCCAGGTGTTGAGAATGACTTCTCACTGAGCCTGGGGTCCATGTCCGTGAGCACCATGGCCATGGGTGTCACTGCCTGGGCTTCTGCACCCTGGGCCTTTTCCATGCTCCATCCCTCGGCTGCCTCTGCTTGGGGACTTTTCCCTCAGAACCATTTCCTGAAGCTTCGGTCAGTTTGGTTGCAGTCCAGCCCTCTGCCTCCTGCAGACAGCCTACCCTGATCACGCCAGCCTTTGCTAATCTCTGCTTCTTGAGATCTCCAGCTGCACTCAGCAGTGCAGGGATCATGTGTACCTGGAAACCCAGGACAGGAGGAATTTCAAACATCCTGCCTGCGCTGTTCTTACCTGTTTCTGCCAGGATGGGTCAGATCCTGGCAGAATCCTGTTACATAGATGAGGTAGGAGTCATCAGAAGGGCTAGTGTCCCTCCCCTTCTGGATAGTGCAGTCTGGGCAGCAAGCATGCTTTTCCTGCAGAGCAGGGGCTAGAAGCACAGGCTCTGGAGTCAGAGGGACCTGGGACCAGGCACCCAGCTACACTGACCTCGATTGCAGCACCTCCAGGACAGTGGTCTGAATCCCTGACCTTGGTGTGGAGAGAGGTACATGTGAAGGTATGTTTAAAGTGCTTCCTCCGCACAGTTCCTAGTGCTGAGTCCCAGCTCCACCATTCTTCAGCCCTGGACAAGTCATCCCTTGTCTCAGCTGAGTCATCCAGGCTGGTTGCTGAGCATGAAGGCCTAGTGAGGATTCAGTGAGGCCATGGGAGGCCACTGCCTTGTGAACTGGTGGGGACTCGCTGGGGTGGGCCCACAGGCTGCTGTGGGTTCTGCTAGTCCAGATGCTGGAGCTGTGGGCCTTTTGTTCCTTCCCCGTTTGATTACGTTTCATCTTGCACTGTGAATTGGTGCCTTTCCTCCTGGTCTCTGTGCTGGCTGGGATGACTGAGGGCCTGCTATGGAAATCCTGGAACCCTGATTTTCACAGCAGCCATGAGGAGGAGGTACTCTAAAGCAGTGGTTCCCAAACTTTTTGACACCAGGAACTAATTTATTGGAAGACAAGTTTTCCACAGATAGGGGGAAGTCATGGTTTTGGGATGAAACAGTTCCACTTCAGATCATCAGGCATCAGTTAGGTTCTCATAAGGAGCATGGAACCTAGATCCCTCACATGCACAGTTCACAATAGGGTTTGCACTCCTATGAGAATCTAGTGCCCCCACTGATCTGATGAGAGGTGGAGCTCAGGTGGTAATGTTCGCTTGTTAGCTGCTCACCTCCTGCTGTGTGGCCCAGCTCCTGACAGGCCACGAACAGGTACCAGTTCATGGCCTGGGGTTTGGGGACCCCTGCCGTAAAGGATCAAAAGCTGCTTGCAGGTAAGGAAGACCATCAACCCTACAAAAAGACGTGGGGCTGCCTTTGAACTCTCTATGTGTGGGTAAGGTCAAAGGCTAGCACATATTATGGAATAAAAGAAGCAAGTTGCAGTGTGAGTTTCCCTTATGTAAAAGTAGTTCTATTCATCCGTGTCTACAGTTGCACATGGACACTGGGGTAGGCCTGGAGCCACATTCACCAAGCCCGAAGGGATACGCATAGTCAGGGCACCTGTCCCAGGCAGATATTCTCTGTCACCTGCATGTTCTTGCTATATCTGGTTATGACCTGTAATACAGATAATTAAACAGACTCATCTTTTTATTTAAAAAAATCTACTCACTCTTGTCCCAAGCAAAAGTATCTGAAAAATCATGGCTTAGATATTGTATTAGTCTATTTTCACACTGCTATAAAGATGCTACCTGAGACTGGGTAATTTATAAATAAAAGAGGTTTAATTGGCTCACAGTTCCACATGACTGGGGAGGCCTCAGGCCACTTACAATCATGGTGGAAGGTGAAGGGAAGTAGGCAACTTCTTCACATGGTGGCAGGAGAGAGGGCACACGCAGGGAAAGCTGCTTTTTAAAAAACCATCAGATCTCATGAGAGCTCCCTCACTATCATGAGAACAGCATGGGGGAAACCACCCCCATCATCCAATTACCTCCCACCAGGTTCCTCCCTCAACATCCGGGGATTACAATTCGAGGTGAGACTTGGGTGGGGACACAGACCCAAACCATATCAGATGTGGTAACTGTATTTTTTCTAACATATATTACACTAATTTGCTATTAAAATAAAAACTTCACCTGTGTGTTATCTAAAATCATTTTTCATATAGTGTTTTTGGACAATTGGCAAAGTGATTAAACACTTGGGCTTCAGAGTCCAACTACCAAAATTTGAATTCCAGCCCTGCCATTTGCTACTGTCTATTACTCAGTAAATTCTTACCCTCTTTAAGCCTCATTTTCTTATCTTTACATAGGGATGATCATGGTACCTACCTGAGAAGATTATTAAGAAAAAATAAAATAACCAATGAAGAATGACTAGTATATTTTCTGGCACTGAGTAACCACTCAAATTAATGAGACTGTTAAAAGTTGATTATTAGGGACTTCTGCTTGTAGTCTTGGTGAGGTAATCAGTACTAGATTTGCCCTCCCACTAAAAACAACAAGAAAACTGAGTAAAATGAGAAGCCACTATTTAAAGATGATGGAAAACAAAAAACACAGAACGATGATTCAAGGAAAAAGAGAACAAATGAGGTGAACCCTAAAATTACCTGGGCTTTCAACCTGAAGACACTCTTTAGAATGCAACAGTGTATTTGTCAATTTCACTGTACATAATTAGATCTCAATAATACCAACTAAAAAAGACATAAAAATCCCAAAATATTTAGAGATAAATTTAATATAAATTTATATGAAAGTGCAAAGGACCTAGATGTATTTTTGTTTATACTGTAAAAATATAAAAATGTATTTTAGAAAGAACAAAGTTGGAGACTGTCCTAACTGTCAAGGAATGTAGTGAATTTATAGCAGTAGTGCTCAACTGGGGCCAGTTCCCCCCCCCGCCAGGGAACATTTGGCAAAGTTGGGAGACATTCTTCATTGTCATTACTCTGGAGGGAGGAGAGCAGTATCATATTGACAAGTAGGGGTAGAGACCAGAGGTGCTGCTAAACATCTAATAGTGCACAGGACAGTGTCCCACAACAAAGAATTATCCGGCTCAAAAATCAACAGCACCAAGGCTGAGAAACTGTGATCCACAATAAGGCAGTGACTAGAGATCAGTGGAACAGAACAGAGAATCCAGGTATGAATCCACATGTATATCACTGATTTTTGACAAAGATGCCAATGTATAGCTGGATTCTCTGTTCTGTTCCTCTGATCTCTACTCCCTGCCTTATGGAGGACCACAATATATAGCCAAGTCTATACACTGGCATCTTTCAAAGGGCTTTGAAAGAAAAGTCTTTTCAGCCAGCGGTGCACAATAGCTATCCAAATGGAAAAAATAGGTAAATCTTGCTCCCCAACTCAAATAGCGTCAATGAACTCAAATGGAATCACAGGCCTAAATATAAAAGCTAAAGCTATAGAACTTAAAAAAAAAAAAGGAAGAAATGTTCACAATCTTATGGCAAGCAAAGATTTCTTAGATAGGATACAAAAAAAATGAAAAAATAAATTAGATCCCATCAAAATTTAAAATTTCAGTTGTTTCTTAGAAATACTTTGTTAATAAAATAAAAAGTCAAGGCACAACCTGGGAGAAAACATTCACAATACCTATTTCTGACAATGAACTTGTATTTGGCATACACAGAAAGCTCTTACAACACAACCGTAAGACAGTGTTATAAGAAATGAGCAAAATGAAGATCATAGTGTGATAGCATAAGTTCACTACGACCCATTCTTCCCACTTACTATACCAAAAACTCTACGCAAAATGCAAACACTAGCACCAGAGAACTCTAAAAAGTAAACGAAAACATTGTGGCTGAGAGGTAAAGTTACTTGGATTTAGACAGTGATCCATGCAGGGGAGAGTTTCCCAGGTTCTCTCTCTCTCTCTCTCTCTCTCTCTCTCTCTCTCTCCCCCCCCCCCCCCCGTTTCTGTTTCTTTCTCTCTCAGCTTTGCCCAGAGGGCACACTCCAATTACACAACAGCAATGCAGCAGTGGCAAAAGGACGGCTGCTATAGAAGAAATCCTGTATTTCTGGTCAAATGAGTCAGGACAGAGACCGTGGAAGGAAACAGAACATGAGGACATCCAGGAGGGAGGGTAGCCAGAAAAGCAGTCCTCTAATTCTGTGAATAAATACTTGTAAGTCTCAGCCTAACTCCTGAGTTATGCATGAGTGGGATAGACCTAAAACAGCATAGCAAAGCTTTCAGAAAGAACTAAACTGAGATTTAAACCATGTGTAATCTTTTTTAGCCTAATTGCTCAATAATGCATGCAAAAAACAGACCCAAATGAATACAGTGAAAGCTTAGAGAACTGAGATTTGTACCACTGTATACAAAAGGCAAGACAGAACTGGCAGCTCGAAGCTAACTAAATTGAATGTCTGATAAAGCTAAAACATCAACTCTCTGCAGAGGATTATGTGCCCGACCCAAAGTCTACATAAAATGATTTTCAAAATGTCTAGGACAATCTAAAATTACCTGGCATACAAATAACCAGAAAAATGTGACGACTTCTCAAGGGAAATGACAACAAATATCAATCCCAAGGGGGCCATGTGTTGGAATTATCATCAAAGACTTCAAAATGCTGTTATGTGTATGTTCCATGAGGTTAAGAAAAACACATTTGGCATGAATAAAAATAAGTTCTCAATAGAGAAATAGCAACTATAAAAAAAAAAAAACCAAAAATGTTAGGACTGGAAAATACAAAATCTGAAATTAAAAAATTTCACTTAATGATTTCCATAGCAGAATGGTGATATCAAGAGGAAAGAGCCTGTGAGCTTAAAGATAGATCCATATTATTTACACAATCTGAAGAACACAGAGGAAAGATTAAGAAATAAATAAACAGAGCCTCAGAGATCTGTGGAAACACATTAAAAAAAATCTAACATACATGACATTGGAGTCCCAGAAGGGGGGCAGAAATAAGCTAAAAAGAAAAAATCTTGACAAAACGAAGGAAGAATTAAAGTTTCCTAAATGTGGTGAAAAACATAAATCAAAGTACTTAAAAATGTAAATGTACTTAAGAGGCTCTGAAAACCCCAGAAAAGATAAGGTCAATGAAAACCATGCCTAGACACATTATAAAGTGCTCAAAACCGTATCCACTACCACTTACAAAGGATAAAGAAAAACATCTTCAAACCAGCTAGAGAAGAATGACACACTACATATGGTAGAATAACGACAGGGGTCTATCCATGCAGTGGAATAGTGCTCAACAAAACAGGAACAAACCATCCATGCAACAGCATAGATTACTCTCAAGAGAATTATGCTAAGAGAAATCACATAAAAACAAACACCTGATTCCATTTATATAAAATTCTAGAAAATGTAAAATAATCTAGAGTGTCAGAAGATCAGGGGTTGTCTGGGGAAGGGAATGGAGGGAAGATGGATTATAAGAGTGAATGAGGAATTTTGGGGGATTGATAGAAATATTTGTTATCCTGACCATGGTAATAGTTTCTGAGGTGTGTACATATGTGAAAATTGATCAAATTCTACACTTTGAAACTGTGTAGCTTATTGTACTTTAGTTATAACAATCAAGTTATTAAAATGAGGAAAAGATGTAGACACTTAAATGAAAATATACAAATTGGCAATATACACATATAAGAAATGCTCAACATCACAAGCCATCAAGAAAATGCAAATGAAAACCGTCATGCTATCTACACACCCATGAGAATCGCAAAAGTTAAAAAGTGGTGTTAAGACTGTGAAGAAACTGAAACTTTTACACATTACTGTTGGGAAGGTAAAATGAATGTATCATTTTATATGACGTAAAATGAAAACAGTTTGGCAGTTTCTTATTTAGTTCAACATACACTTACCATGTGATCAAACTACTCAAATCCTAGCTATTTACCTAAGAGGAATGAAAACTATTACCCACTCAAAGACCTACAAGTAATTATTTCTAGCAGCACTCTTCACAATGGAAACAACTAGCTGGTACTCACAGAAGATGGATAAGCAAATTGTGTCACATCACATAACAGTATACTACTCCTCAATAAAAGGGAGCAAACTATGCCACAAAAAGGATGAATTTTAAAAACATGGTGCTGAAATCCCATTACTGGGTATATATCCAAAGGATTATAAATCGTTCCACTATAAGGACACATGCACAAGAACGTTCATTGCAGCACTGTTTACAATAGTAAAGACCTGGAACCAACCCAAATGCCCATCAATGATAGACTGGACAGGGAAAATGTGGCACATATATACCATGGAATATTATGCAGCCATCAAAAACGGTGAGTTTGTGTCCTTTGTAGGGACATGGATGAACCTGGAAACCATCATTCTCAGCAAACTGACAGAAGAGCAGAAGATCAAACACCGCATGCTCTCACTCATAGGCGGGTGTTGAACAATGAGTACACATGGACACAGGGAGGGGAGCACTACACACTGGGGTCTGTTGGGGGGAAATAGGGGAGGGACGGTGGGGGGTGGGGAGTTGGGGAAAGATAGCAAGGGGAGAGATGCCGGATGTAGGTGATGGGGAGGAAGGCAGCAAATCACACTGCCACGTGTGTACCTATGCAACAATCTTGCATGTTCTTCACATGTACCCCAAAACCTAAAATGCAATAAAATAAATGGAAAAAAAATAAAATAAAAATAAAAAATAAAAACATGGTGCTGAAAAACAGAAGCTCACTAGGCACAAAAGAACATGTGCTATGTGATTCCGTTTATTCTAGAACAGGCAAGATGAATCTCTAGTATCAAAAAGCACATCAGTGGTTGCTTGGGGTTGGGAAGCAAAGGAGCGGATTAACTGAAAAGAGGCATTTCTATGTATTAATTTCCAGGTTGTTATTTGGTGTATAGATTCATGAACAGTACATTTTATGGTATTTGTAAATTAGCCCTCAATGAAGTTGAGTTTTTAAATGGTGATGATACAACATGGATTAAATTTATATAAAACTAAAGAGATCAAAATAACACGATATTGGTACAAAGAGGGACACAGAGACGGATACAAAAATAAATTATAGAAAAGGACTTGAGTTTGTAATAGTTAAGAATTTAGAATGTGTCTATCTTGGTATTTCAAATCAGGTTGGGGAAAAATAACTTATTCTTAAATGATGTTGTGTCAAGTGACTATTCAAAATATAAAATAAAATTGGAGGTGTATCTATTACCACTTTCCAAAAATAAATTCTATAAGAAAGAAAATGACCCAGGAGTAGATAGGCCCCAGGGTCTGCGAGCACAGGGTAGAGAGATGTGGAGAACTGGAGATGCTGAGCCTGGAGAACCCAGCCGGGCACTCCTGGCTTGGAATCCAGTCCTGGGGAAGCCTGAGGGCCTGGAGATGTCGCAACCTTGTGACCTTCAGTGGCATTTCAAGACTCTCTTGCCTCAAGCCCTAAGGCTAGAAACTAACTCTGGAGCCCCTCTTTCAGGCTGGTTCACCTTCCTGTCCCAGCACTGAGGCTCAACTCTCCAATCTGCAAAATGGCATGACAGTGGAACACTTCCTGACTTGAAGGTTTGCGGAGAGGACCACATGACACACCACGTGGGAACCTCCCTGGGTGGTAGCTGACACTTAGGAGCACCAGGCCTAGGAGAGGATCTGGGGACGGTGCCTCTGTGGGAGAAAGCAGGTGTCCCACATCATCAGCCCTCCCATGACTGCTCCACTTCTTCTTGTGTCCTGCCAGCAAGTGACTGGAGAAGAGCCACAGAGGAGAGACAGCTGAAAGCTAGTGACAAGGGCAGAGAATGATGTCTCGGCCACACCCCGAGGGGACTGAGGCACCCCAGAAAGGAGCGGCCCATGCAGCTCACCACAGCTCCCTGGACTTGGTGGAACAAATCCTTGGGGCCCTTTCTGACCCATCCACTGGAGGCGCTGAGTCACTCTCACAGTCTCTGGGCAGAAGTCCCCAGTGAGCTCACTGGCCCCCAGTCATGAAGAACTGATCAGATTCCAGATGTTTGCATTCTCTTTGTTTCCCCTGAGTCTCCTGGGGAGATGTGGATTAAGCTGAATTAAGAGACAGGTGATGATCACAGGTGTTGGATGCTTGGGTGGAGTCTCCATGGCAACAGAACCATCTGGCTTTCTCGCCTGGCATCAGGCTTTATGACTTCATGGTGGTGTCTTCTCTCAGCAGGCAGAGGGGGATTTGCCAAGGTGAAGAGGAGGCTGGGAGGAAGAGGACTACTGAGGGAGGCTTTGTCTTTTTAGTCAGAGTTTGACAATTAGGCTTCATCGTGTCTTGACACAGTGCTACTGCAGACTCCAAAACAGGACGCAGGAGGTGTCGCTCAGTAGAGACCGTGAGAGGCATTGTGCACATGCCATCTTGCTGAGGCCTCCCAGGGGAATTCAGAGGACACCTGGCCTCCTTCAGTCCTGGACTCACTGTTGAAGTGGAGTCAGAGCCGTGGCAGGAAAGAATGAGGTATGGGAGGGCCGCTGGCCAGCCACAGGGAGAGTCTGTGCTGTCCAATGTCCGCTGGATGGCAGGAAGGGTAGGGCCTTAGGTGAGCCCCACCACAGAGTGAACCTCATCCATGGCAATGGGCCTGTCTCCCCAGGCCGCTCACCAGGTGGTGCTGGGAGAGCCCTCAAGCCTGTACCAAATCCCTTCATCCCCACAAATGAGCCATCCATCAAACCTGCACCTGTTCATGTCCTAGGGCTGCCAGGACAAATCAGCACAAACGTGGTAGCTTAAGAAAATGCACATGTATTCTCTTGCAGTTCTGAAGAAGTTTGAAATCAAGGTGTCGGCAGGTTGGTTCCTTCTTGGGGGCTTGGCAGGGGAATCTGCTCCCCGTGCTCCCTCCTAGCTTCCAGGGATGACTCAATTCTTGATGTGCCTTGGCTTGCAACAGCGTCACTCCAATGGCTTCCTCCCTTGTCATGTGACATTCTCCCTATGTGTCTGTGTCCAAATTTCCCTCATCTTATAGGGACACATCGTGGGATTCAGGGCCCACCCTAACCCAGTGTGACCTCATCTTAACTTGATTGCATCTGCCAAGATCCCATTTCCAAATAAGGTCACATCCATGAGTGCCAGGGCTGAAGACCTGAACATGCCTTATGGGGGACACACAACAACAGATGATTCACAGTGAACAGAGCACAGGCTTCAGAGTGGGTCAGACCTGGGCATTGCCATTTAGCGTGTCCCATCTCCTTGGCACAGTGAGGTTGGAAAGGCAAGTCATCCCAGTGGGCTTCCTAAGGATTACCTGAGAGAGAGGATCACAGAGCTCTGCGGAGTGTTTGGAAGTGGTAGAGACTCAGCAAAGATGGCCCCGGGCTGGATGTCTGGGACTTGGAGGAGGGAGCTTGGTCCCAGCCCACCAGAAACTGGTAGTTTATGGGCCAGTAGGCGCTTACCAAGGGGTCTGGCTTAGGATGGGGACCTCAGTGGTCAGGCTGCCTGCAGGGAGTTGGGGGAGAGCATGGACCACAGGAGCATGTGTCGGGGCAGGGACTCAAGGCCCAAAGGCTAGGGTGGGAGTTGGGAAGGCCAGGGTGGGAGTCAGGAAGGCTGGGGGCTAGGCTACCAGAGGCTCTTCCATGAGCCCGGAGTCCACAAGTGGAATGGCCTGGGGGCTTTCTCAGGATGAAAGGAGCCCCCTGCCATGTTCCTGGTGGGCTCTGGGTCTGAGCCTGACAGGCAACGTGGAAATGAGCTGGCTTTTCATTACCAGGTACTCCGAGCCATTCATCCCCTCTGGGCCTAGGAATTAATTCCTCATTCCACTTCCCCATCCTCTCCCCAAGACATGACTTCTCCCTCCCATCACCAGGGAGTCTGCTAAAGACTTCCTTCCTGGTCGTGGTGTTCTCTTTGTGTCTACCTCTTTCCTTCCTTCCCACCCTTCTTTGCTTTCTTCCAATACTTAGTGTCTGCCATATGCCAGGGTTTTTCTAGGCCTTCGGGACATAGACGTGAACTAGACAGATGGGCCCTGCCTGGTGGAATTTGTAAATAACAGGATGAGAGATATTAATCAAGAAACCACACAGTTGAATGTTTCACAGCAGAGGAACGGGTGCTCCGAATGAGGGGTATGAGGGTGGTGGCAGTCAGGAAGAAGGTGATGCCACTAAGCCAGGCATGTAAGGGAAGTCACCTTGGGCAAGCGCCGAGGAAGTCACCACCTAGGACAAAGGAGAGGAAGAGACTCTGGGCAGGAGCATTACCCCGTGCAGAGGCCCCGTGGTGGGAGGATGCTTGGCGAGTGAGATGGACCCAGAAAGGCTTTGTGGCTGGAGTGGACAGAGTGGAGGGAATATGAGGCGGGTCGAGGGCCAGCATACTAGTTGAAGAAGTGTTAGTTGAGTGGCTGTTATGAACCGGAGGCACCAGACAGACAACACAGATCAAACCACCCACACGTAAGGCAGGCGGACCATAGCCCCGGAAGAGCATTCCAGTGATGAAGCGATCTGGAGGAGGGGGCTTGCGGAGGCTGGGGCTGGGAAGGCTCTTCTGAGCTGAGATTCCAGGAGCAGATCTTGGCACAGGCTCTAAGGCAGGGCCAAGCTTGGTGTGACTGGGGAATGGTAAGAAGGCCTGTGTGCCTGAGCAATCTAACCATGGTTGAGGGCCACGGCTGGCTTTTCACAGAAGAGAGCCATAGTCAGGTTTGGGCTTTGTAAGCCCCTTTCGGCCTGCAATGTAGACAGGGACTGGAACAGACCTGGCGTGGCTAGGAAGTCAGGGTGCAGTACCAGATGGAACACCCTTCTCTTCGCAGATGTCCCGGAAGAACTGTGAGGCTGAACCCGGAGCCCCAACCTCTCCTAGCCTCCTGGAGGAGGATGACCCAGGGCCCCTGTCCTGGCAACAGCAGGCCACCAGTTCAAGGGACAAGAAACCTCTAAGCTCCCTCCACCTTTCACATAGGGCTCAGGTGGCCTTGGAGTATCTGCCTTTCTTCCGCACCTATGGGTGCCTCCTGGCAGAGGACGGGTTGGTCCTGCAGCCCGAGACACCACTCCAGGAGGACTCAGAACTGCTTGGCGGGTTCTTCCCTTACTACCGCTCTGAGGAGAGTTTGCCCAGCCTGGCCCATCCTGGCTGGTCACACAGGGGCTCCCAAGACCCACCCACTGGGAGGGAGGCACAGGCTGGCTGCTTCTGCAGGACAACAGTTGGGGACGAATGCTCTGTGAGTTGAGGAGGCCATGGAGGTGGGTAGGGGGAGCAGCACCAGGCCCTACATCCTTCAAACCTCTCTGTCCTGGGGCCTAGACTCTACCAGGCCCCTAGACAGGCCCTCTCAGGGCTGCTGGGGCTCCTGGAGCAAGGTGTCACTGGTTGGGAGCACAGGGACTCCAGGAAGACTGTCCTGTTCAAGCCCAGCTTGACCACCACGGAGGAACGAGGCCTGGGGAACATGGTTTCCTTATAAGAAGAGAGTAGCGGCCGGGCGCGGTGGCTCAAGCCTGTAATCCCAGCACTTTGGGAGGCTGAGGCGGGTGGATCACGAGGTCAAGAGATCGAGACCATCCTGGCCAACAAGGTGAAACCCCGTCTCTACTAAAAATACAAAAAATTAGCTGGGCGTGGTTGTGCGTGCCTGTAATCCCAGCTACTCAGGAGGCTGAGGCAGGAGAATTGCCTGAACCCAGGAGGCGGAGGTTGCGGTGAGCCGAGATCACGCCATTGCACTCCAGCCTGGGTAACATGAGTGAAACTCCGTCTCAAAAAAAAAAAAAAAAAAAAAAGAAGAGAGTAGCAGCAGCAACAGTCAAGCCATTGCGAGAATTACACACAACCATGTGCCCAAAGTACTGAGCGCAACGGTGAGCTCACAGAAGCATTGATTTGGTCCCTGTGGCTTGCTAGGCTCTCAGACAAATGTTTCATTAGCATCATCTCATTTAATCCTATTAGTAATCCTGTAAGATAGGCCGTACTCTAATTCCCATTTTATGAATAAGAAAGTGAGTCTCAGAGAAGCTAAGTGACTTGGCCAAGGGCACATAACTCGCAAGTAGCAAACCTGAGATTTGACCCAAAGTCTGTGCCCTTTAAGGTTCCTAATCACCACCGTGTAGCTGGGCGCTGTGGCCGTGACTGCAAAGACAGGAGGTGAGGTGGGTGAGTTCTAATCCCAGACACACCCCTCCCAGCAGGGTGCTCTTGGATGCATGAGTGACATCGCTGAGTGCTTCCCGGGCTGTAGAGCAGACATGGGCCTGTCCTCTTCCGGGACTGCCACTGTGGTGTTGCAGGCACAGGCTGCTCCCTGGTATCTGGGTCTGAACCTGGAAGTGGGCTTGCATCTGGCTGACCCTCTTGTTCCTTTGGGCCCAGGCTGCCATGGCACACTCGCACCTCATCTCTGGGTCCTCACACTCACTGGGCTGCTGCCCCGTCTTGCAGGTCTCAGCAGGGTGTCCCCATGACAGTGACCTGCATGCCCCTCTCTCCAGGGACCATGTTCTTTATGCATCAGGATTCGTGCCTTATTACAGAACCCCTGAGGAGGGGCTACACACTAGCCCTGGGCCTCCTGCCTCTCCAACTGGGAGCCAAGGGTCCTCAGGGGCTGCCCAGGCCTGGTGCAGTCACACCACAGGGAAGCCAGAGCTGACTGCAGTGGAAGCCACTGGAGAGCAGACCCCCAGCACCCACTGACCATAGAGAGATGAAGGTGACTAGGGGGAGGCTCCCATGGGTCAGTCAGTTTGCCCTGGGACCAGAGCTAGCCTGGGACCCCAGCCCTCAGGCCTGAGTTCTCTCCCTCTCAGTGCCCATGACCAGGGATGGGGGGCATCCTACCTCCCTGCCCTGCAGAGCCACCAGAGCCAATGGGAAGAACCCAACCCCTGGCAGGTTCTGCCAGCCCCTCTCAGCCCACCAGGCTGCTCCCTGCCAGCATGAGGCATCCCACTATGCAGGCCTGGAGTTTGCCTTTCTCCTCAAGGGGCAGAAGGGAGAAACTCAGCCTGTGCCCTGCGTTCAGCTACAGTACACCCAGGAAGAGACCCATCCCACCCGAGGCTGCCACCTTCCTGCTCTAGCTGGAAAAACTGCCACGTGAGAATTGAACAGCCACACCAAAAGTGGCTTCGCAGAGGAGTGTCCATCTTTCCCAGCACTCTGACCTCAGACCATTCCTTTTGTAGCCTGTCCTAAGTGCAGACAGAGGGAGCAAGAGCCTCCTGAATGACTGAAGGGCGCAGACACCCTGAAGCTGGTTTTGTAAATAAATCATATCACTATAGAGGTTGGAGCTGGTGCACTAATTGGATGCTTTGGAGTAATACTTGCAGCTTCCATTTATTGAGCATTTACTTTGTACTAGGCACCTTATAGAGATCAAGGATTATGGAGACACAATCCTTGGGTGTAGACACTGGTGTCCTCTCCATTCTACAGCAGAGTAAACAGGCTAAGAGAGGTTAAGTAGGGTGCCTGAGCTCACACAGCTAGCAAACAGCCAGGAACAGTGGAGCTGGCATTCACACCAGCTCTGTCTGACCTCGGGCTCAGCCCTGCAGCACCTCCTCGCCACACTCTTCCTCAGTGGGTCTATGCACAGCAGGAAATGAGCCAGGTGCTCCCCTAGACCCAGGCCTCCCCGAGACCCATCCCACCCTCTCTTTTTCCTCATTGCCTCTGCACCTTTCCTTCCCCTGCCCCTGCCCTTGGGTGGAGCAGGTGAGGACAGTGGCTCTGCACATGTCTGCTAGGCCCTACCTCCTTGGACCCTGTGGACCTGTTTTCTGGCCCCCAATCCAATCTCCAACCCCAGGCCCACCTGGCACGTGGCTGAAGCACACTGGGATGTTGAGAGTATGTGCTCATCCCAACCACTGCAGGCCAGACACCTAGATGTTGGCTCCTGTTTGAAACCCCTTTAGCACCAGCCACACTGACGTGTCCCACGTTCACAGCCTCTCTGCTCCGTGGCACTGGTTTCGTGTCTCCTCCCCAGGTGTGGGGTCTTTGCTTGCTTTGACACTCACACACCTCTGACTGCTGGATCCCGGCTCCTCCCCCTTTGACTCTCACACACC